TGGTAACATGGGGGAGTGGCCTAATATGCCAATGAGCTGTGCTGTCAGGGGTGTGGCCTAATATGCTAATGAGTTTCTGCTGTTGGGTGTGGCCTATTATACTAATGAGTTCCTGCTGGGCTTTTTCTACAAAAAAAGCCCTGGGCAAAATAATGTATGCAAAGTACTTTGAACACTTGAAAAACCAATATGAATGCTTAGCACTATTAAAGCAAGCTGAATAGTGTACACAAATCAATTATTCTCTGTAACCCACTCCCAGTCCCTGTTGAGTCCAAGCCTGACGGGCAAAATAATGTATGCAAAGTACTTTGAACACTTGAAAAACCAATATGAATGCTTAGCACTATTAAAGCAAGCTGAATAGTGTACACAAATCAATTATTCTCTGTAACCCACTCCCAGTCCCTGTTGAGTCCAAGCCTGACAGGGCCAAACCTGCATATGAATTTCAACTCAGTAGTACCCTCTTTCTCAGTCACCCATCTTCCATTGCAGAAACCTATGTATGTTTCAGCCATCATATGATTCAGAGAAGTCCATGCCACTCACTTCTGCAGTCAGTTGAAGTGGAACCTTGATTTACTAAGCTCTCAGTTTGGCATCTTTACTAAATAATGTTTCTGATCAAATTCCAACAAGCCTATCAGTCAGCAGAGACCGTTCAAAGGATTAAAGGTGCCAGCAAAAAGTTGTGGGATTTATATATCATGGCTAAACTCTCAGACAATCTTACGCGTTTTGACAAATGTCCTACCCACACCAATTTTACTTCTGTATGGTTTCCCATCCTATCTTATCTCTCTACCTTGCAGGATACCCCTCCGGTAATGAATACCCTATGGCTCTGGTACAATAGATCACTTAGATCCATCTGGCTAGTCTGGTAATTCCTGTCGTATTTGTAATCCTCATGTACTTTTTTATTACAATCATCGGTTCATTGATGCAATCATTGTTGAACACAAGTTAAGTTTTAAATTGTAATACTGTCACTGGACACCTGTTTTACTGTTGTATTCTCAATTGTTGTTTTGATTATTACCTTATTGTTATACACAGGGGTCGTTTCGTAGAAAAAGAGCTAGGGGAACTCATTAACATAATTCATTAGCATATGCCACACCCCCTAACATCAGGGGCCCGGCGTTAAAGGTGCCAGCAATCGAGAGCTCTCTTTATCGCAGCATCAAGCAAAAAGATTGACCCAGATCTGAGCTCTCCTCTAAGACAAAGTGAATGGGCCTGCAGATCCTTCTGACTAAGGACGATCTTCAGTTCAAGGGGATTGCCTGCAGGCATATCTGTTAGCTCCCCTGAGCCCATCTCAGTGGGGTGGGTGGGATATACGGTCGGGGGGGGGCATCTCCTGGAAATCCCAGGCCCGAGAGATGTTAAATTTGCGGTGACCAGGACCAGGGCATTTTCGGTGGCGGCTCCTACCTGGTGGAAGGAGCTCCCGGAAGAGATCCGGGCCCTGCGGGACCTCTCTCAGTTCCGCAGGGCCTGCAAGACGGAGCTCTTCCGCCAGGCCTTTGAGTAGGAGCTGCCGCCACCACCATTCCACCTTTGCCCCCTATGCTCTGGCGTATTAACATCATGATTGCCTGGCCCCCAAGGGGGGGAGCGAGGCGCCTGGGCACGGCTTAGATGATAAGATCTTAGGAAGTAGTTATGGAAGTTAAGATCTCCCCATCTTGTCTAAATCTGTTTGTAAATTTGTTATTGTATTTTACTGTAATTTATTGTTTTTAAATTATGTGCTTACTGTTTTAACCTCGGCACATGGTGCCCTTGTTAGCCGCCCTGAGCCTTCAGGGTAGGGCGGGATATAAATTAAAATATAAATAAATAAATAAATAAATATAAACCGACTTAAATAAATAAATAAATAAATAAATAAATAGCTGGAACAGCAAACAGCCAGGTATTAAAATAGGTTGCAAAGATTGTCACTGGGCTTATTTCCTCAGGAAACCATTCCCGTATGCTCAAACATGCTTTTAAAGGAAAACAAACACCTGCATTCCACTCCAAAGGTATGAACTGAAAGTTGCGGAGGGTCTGGGTTCTCGAGACTGCATAGAACTGACGACAGTGAAGCTGCTGGTAAAAATACTGTGACCTGGATTTAGAGAAGCCATTTCAAGCTCCAGTCAAATGGCCTAGTTTCCAAACACAGATGAGTACGTCATCAGAAATTAGGTCAGGTGGCTTCGATCACCGCAAGGCAAAAAACCCGGAAATTCTGGCGAGAGAAGCCGATACTCAGGGCTTACACTCTTCTATGGCATGTCTGTAAAGGGGTGCATGAATGGCAGGTGTTTTATGTACCAAAGGGTCACATGGTTCCTAAACAAACTTGCACATTTACTATGGCATAAGATTTCATGAGCCAGAGCCCTCATTTGAAGAAACAGCAACTCTTTAAGGTGTCATGTCATGTGACCCTTTGCTGTTTTGGTTGCAGCAGACTAAAATGGCTCCCACTCTGGAATGTATCCATTTTATGTGCTCCTTTTTTAAAAAAAAAATGCAGCACTACAGGAATAATGAGACAGAAATAAGTATCATTTATATAACCAGTTCTTTTCTCCCCCCTCAAAGTTTGAACAATAAATGCCAACTGTCTTGGGCTCCCTGGCTTTCTCTCCCATCTGACAGTTATCACTTCCTGTTTCTTGGCAAACGGTCATTTGCCCCAATGTGTGAACTAGCAAATATGGTTGCCAGTTTGTTCAGTTCACTATAATGGCAAATGTTGGTTTGCTAAGAAACAGGGGGAAAGCAATTGCAGAGAGCAAGAGAAGGGTAGAAGGAACATGCGAGGATGTACTGCTTTCATGACTGTTCCAAATGATTGTCTGGAGGACAGATAGGGTTGCCAAGTCTAACTTACCAAATAGTGGGGAGGAGTCCTGTTTCTCCCCCAGGAGCCTTCTGGTGCACGTGCCACGATGACACCACCCGGAAGCGACGTCATCGTGTCGGGCACGTTGGGGGCGGGGCCACAATCATTCAAGGGGAAAACATAGAGTTTTCCCTCGAATGATAGAGCTAGGGCTGCCAAGTGGGGGCGGGGGGGTGGGTAAATCCCCGCTTTGGAGGCCTGATTTTCCCCGCCGCGGAATCGGGCCCTGTGGGGAACTCCGCCCCCCGAAGCGCAGCGTGGCTGCGTCACCAGAGATGACGCAACCACGTCAACCTCGTTGGGGGCGTGGCCCAGATCGTCGGAGGGAAAACTCTATGGTTTTCCCTCCAACGATCGGGGCCACGCCCTCAACGTGGTCGACGTCACGCGTCACTTCCGGTGATGTGCTGGCGGCGCGTGCGCTATGTGCGCGCATCCAAAGAGAGCTCCCGAAGCCCGGCGAAGCTCCCCCACCGGTGAGGTTTTTTTACTTGGCAACCCTAGATAGAGCATCCCCCGGTAACGTACCCGATGTGATGACGTCACCTCCGGATGGCGTATTCACGCTGCGCATGTTGTGCACTTTGGGGGTGGGGTTCCCCCCCGGCAGCCCAATCTGGCCCGGCGGGGAATGGGCCTCTCAAGCGGGGGTTTCCCCGCCCCCCGGGGGACCTGGCAGCCCTAAGGACAGAGAATATTATGCCTGAACTAACTCTATGCAGTCTCCAACACATCAGGCTCTTCTTATGCAAAGCATCTCTCCGTGTTTGATTTCCAAATTTAGTTGTAAATATTGCTTGAAACAGGAATTCTCCTGTGCATATTTATTTTTATTTACTTCATTTACATCCTGCTTTTCTCCCTGAACGGGACCCAAAGAGGCTTGCATCATTTGTTCCACAGTAAAGCCCATGCGACCTTGCTTCCTGCTTGGAGTGCTCTGTATGGCACGAATTGTGTAAAATGCCCTTGAAAGAACACATCTCCACCCACACGTAAACACATTCACTTCCAAGTGTAATTCCCTGGGTGGCAAAGCTAACATAATGTCACAAAGTTGTGAAATGGCACCTGCGCAGAGCGATCTTTGAGCCCAGCC